CGGTTTTATTATCCATCTTTATTGTAGGTTGTCAAATATGAATACTGTACATACCAAATACGACCATAAATCAATGTTTAGAAAAAGATGAAAAATGCAGACTTGTAAACTATTCTATTTAATCTTTTCGATGATTAATTTTCGTTGACTTTGTAGGGGTCCGATTACTCGTTATATTTTCTTGATGCTTACTTCGAAATGTTTTATTTTAGTTCAAAATGTTTCAATGTTATACCGCGAAAATTTTGATAGTCCTTCTTCTCCAGCAAATGGAAGCGATTATGAAGTTTCAAACAGTTCATTGAGACGACACCAGCAATTGAAGCAACAGTCTTTTAATAGGTAAATTTCAATTTTTTTCAGCTGATCAAAGTCAAGCATGTGCGTGATAATACATTTGTTGTCAAACATTAATTTAACATTTAATTTAGCATTTTGGAGGATGAAAGGGTGAAGAAAAGGAAGAAAGTGAAGAAATAATTACTACTAACCACCTGTTATGATTTAAATCCCATGTGCATTTTCAGCACTTCACCGGCATCACCTCCAACTTATGAAAATACTCGAATTCTGACGCCAACACCGAGTACAGCTTCAACATTGGTTATGGGCACACAGGGACGAGGAGCCAGTCCAAAAGTTGGTGATTGTAATTGTTTCAGTTTGTTTCTTCATAAATCATTTCAAGTATTTGAGTTCAATAGACAAACTTCTATAGAATGAAGCTGTGATATATTAGATTTTAAAAAAAAAAAAAAAAATGGCTTCTAACGTTAGGTTACAGAGACAAACTAATTTGATTCCTCAGAATTTGTATTCCTTTTTTTTCTAGGTTATTCAGACCTTGAATAACGCTTTAAATGGTAAAGGCCATCGGTTTTCTCATATACACTTGCAAACACCATCGAAATGTGCTTATTGTACGTCAATTTTGATCGGTTTGGATCGACAAGGTTAGTATCAAACAATGTTCATTGGAAATAGCGTTCTGTTTGGCGAATAATTCTGCAAATCTACGATTTGATCATCATATGATCAAATCAATGGTCATTTCCAGAACACTTAATTTTGGTCAACACCTGGTCAGTCAAATAGTTCACAAGCAAAAGGATACTAGTATATCTAAGCACTTTGAGGAATATAGCTTTATTTCACATTTTTCCAGGACTCTTCTGTCAAGACTGTCAGTATGCTTGTCACGTTGCTTGCTTGCCGAAAGTACCGTTGGTTTGTCCGGTTCCACCGGAAGCAAGAAGACCATTAGGTATTGATCCACAGAGGGGAACAGGCACTGCTTATGAAGGTAATTTTAAATACCTTGGTTTTTTTGGATTGCATGCTTTTCCAAATATTTCGTAAGGCAAAAGATATTCTTACAGAACACTTCTGACCTGAGATGACTATTTATTTTAATATTTAACTGAAGTTTTGGTGTATTCATGAATTTGATTTCAGGATTAGTTAAAACACCAAAACCATCCGGAGTCAAACGAGGTTGGCAGTCAACGTATGTTGTCGTATGCGACTTCAAGCTGTATTTGTATGACTGCAGCACAGACAAACATGGAAAAGCGATCGATATTCATCCAGTTATCAGACAAGTAACTTTATTGATTTTTCCCTTCTGAAAACTATTTTATATTTTGCTTTTTAAAACGAGATAGTGATTCAATTCTAGATATTTCAGAATTTTAGTTTTTTGAGTTGCCATGTTTTTATGAAATTCGGTAACTTCCTTCTTCCAGGTTTTGGACATGCGTGATACGGATTTCACAGTAACGGGTGTTACGGAAGCCGACGTTATCCATGCATCAAAGTCTGATTTACCAAAAATATTTCGCATAACAACAAGCCAAATTCACGGTACGCTGCCAACATCGGGTATTAATACAACGGGGTCAACGTCAAGTAATGGAAGCGCTTCATCAGAAGGACCTGTTTCACGACAGTATACCCTTCTCATGGCAGATAATCATGAAGTAAATTGAAGCTAAAGCTTTTTTTTTTATAACGATTTGCAGGATTGTGACATTGCCACATGCTGAATGTATGATGTGAGTTCAGCAACATTTCGAAGTATTATATTATGCCCTCATTATGACAACATAAAAGTTTTCACGTGATTCAAATTAAATTTTTTACTTTAGGAAAAGACGAAGTGGGTAATTGCGTTGAATGAATTAAAAAGTCTTTTGCGTCGAACAAAACTCGTTGACAAGAGTGCTTTCATGGTCAAGGTAACTATATTATTATCAATACTCTCATTATTTATAGGGAGAAAACTGATATTATTCTCTTAATATTTTTAAAATTATTCCTAAGGTTTTACCGTCATTTGCTGGCCATGTAGATAAATGATTGTTTTAAACATTCTGTTCTATAGACGGGATAAAGAAACATTGAAACCCTATTTCCAAAGCATTGCTGTGCAAAATTCCTAGCTGTAAGGCTTACTTAATAATTTGCCATACGGACTTCAACTTATAGATGAAACTATTACTTTCTTCTCGTGTACTATTTCAATTATAGAAAGCACTGGAAAATTATATTTTAGGCCTTTTTGTTTTTTTCTTCTTTTGGATGCTTGAAATTAACATTCTAAGTGTTCTCTAATTCTTTTAAATTTAAGTAAAAACTAAAATTTAGGAAGTGTTTGATTCGATAACATTTCGTGAACTTCGAAATGCACAATGCGCTGCAATTATAGATAAAAGCAAAATTGTTATTGGTTTCACAGATTATGGTTTATATGCGGTCGACCTAGATCGTGAGGTATTACTCTTTTCTTTTTCACTTTCTTCGGTTTTCTTACTATAATGTAGGAAACACAAAATTGGAATTTAATTCAAAATTTGCAGTACCAGCAAATATTCATACGAATAATTTTAATTAGAAAGGTTGGATAAGAATAACTTTAGAAGCCGTAAGCAAATGCGTAACTAACGAATAATTCTGCATAAACATTGGCTAATATATACGACATTTGATATAATTCATGCATTTTCTGCAAACAAAATTTGAAAAAGAATAAAGGAGATGTAATGCAAAGTGAAATCAATTATAATTGGTATATAGAAAATATCACAACGAGTTTAATGATAAAAATTCCAATCAATATTCTCGCAAATTTTGGTGATAAAACTTTCAAGTTGAAAGTTTTCTTCATTTTATAAAAAATCTCTCTAGAAACTTGTTTTTATAGTTTTTACTTGTTTTTTCTTCATTTCCTTTAATAAATATATGTTCTTCTACTCGTCACTTTTATGCTATCAGCGTTGTTAAACGTTGGGACCTATGCTTTTCTAAGCTCATTTATCAAATATAGTTATCCCAGATATAGCGGGTGTGAATTTTTTAAGACTTGTTATGGCGCTGGAAATTGTTATGCGGAATTTCTTTCCTTTTCTTGTCTTTTTTTCCCCCACACTTTTTTTCTTGTAGAAACTGCAAGACAATATTACTTTTTCTTCACGATATTTCTGTATGTAAAATTGCACGGCAAAAAATCCGATAATAACATAAATGGTGGAAATGCATAGATATGAGAATGTAATCCCGATAATTAGACCAAAGATTAATTGATTAATTGCACCCAGTCCAACTGATACAAATAACAACTTTTCAGGACATCTGCAAAAATTTTTCAGTACTTTTTTTTTGATAAATAGCAAACAGAGGTAAGGGAATAAGTAGCCCAAATAACTGTAAGAGCTTTCCCTTAATTTATTTGTCCCAATGTACTAAGTTGTTCATCCTATTATTTGTTTTTATAGCTTTTTTTTTTCTTGTCATCCACTGATTTATTACTTAGTCACAGTTCTGCGATTAATAATCTAGGCATTGAATTCAAACTTAAATTATGAAGACTTTTCTATTTCCAAACTTTATTGTCCAGTATTCGAAAAGTAAACAGACTTTCGAAGTGATACTGCTCGGATAGAAATTGGTGATTATTTCCTATGATATTTGCATACTTACCTATTCATTTACTATATTCATTCTCTTATTTATCAATCTGCAAATTTTTTTTTTTTGTGGTTTCATTATGGGATTAAATAATGAAATGAAAAAAAAAGAAAAAAATGATGACATACGCTCCGATATTGAAGTATTTCGTAGATGTAGCAAATGCAATACCTAAGGGTACAAACCAAATAATGGGTGGTGTTTGATAATATTCTCTGTCACTTAATATATAGCCTGATAAAATACCCTATAAATAAGCTCTAGTTTGTTTGATGGTGCTGAATATGTTATCATTGAATATTTCGGTAATTTTTTGATCATTTATGAGTTGTATGACTTCATTTTTTTTTCTCCCGCTGTGGTTAATAATTTTATTTGACCAATTAATTGGTAACTTTACTCAACATTTAATCAATAATTTCATTTACTTAATATTGACCATTGATTAATTAACACATTACTTCCTCTTGTAATCAGAATATGAGACACGCTAGTTTTAAGTGCTTTTTTTTACTTAAAAAATGATTTTAATGTGTTCCGGGAATAACAATCATTGAGTATATCTTCTAAATTTCTTATGCTACTGGATAGAAAAGATACACGTTTTGTTTAAATCTGTAAGATATGCTCAATGGTTGTTATCTCCGGGATACACCGATATGTTTAGAAGAAAATATATTTATATGTTTTTTAGAACTAACGAAAGTTTTTTTTTTTTTGTAACAAAATGAAAATTAATTTATGAGATTAACATATAAGTAACTCACTTCGATGATAGTGAAAAGGAGAATTTTGGAAATTTGTAAAGTTTGGAATCGTTGCCATATTTTTGCAAATTTTGGATGAATAATATTAATGAGCGTAATAAATGGAATTATAACATAGCATAGTATAACAGCAATTAATTCATTCAAGAATGAAGTATTTGTATGTTGTTGGTACAGAGATTTTATAGCTATATTACATGCCCAAAAAGTAGCCATTAAACCGGTTATTTCAGTATACATTTTACCGATTGCTCGTATCATTACCATTGTATCGTTTAGGGACGAATGTATTTTCTTTTTTTTGGATAGATATATTCTTATCTTTAAATGACAAACAGATGATGAATTAAGTTTAACTGAGAAGTAAATTATTAGATTTTAATTGATGAAAATTAAGCTAAACTTTTAAATCTACCCTGCACTATTTATTCTGGACTGCTTCTGGGTTCTGAGATTTTTTGATATTTCGATGTTTGTATTTTGAATTTGATGGAGAAAGATAATAAACTAATAGAGAAATATAATGAAAGAAAGAGAAAAGAGGTTGAATGTTGAATTATTTTATAGTACGGAAATAACAGATTTCAATTATGTGATTTGAAATAATAATTCTGTTCATCTTTGTCTTTTAAAAGATTTGCTTCCACTTTTTATTTGATATATACAATGTGACATAGGCATTAAGCTCGAAAAACATTGGTCTGAATACTCATTGATGTGAACACTTCAAACTTACTTTTAGTTGACCGCGAGATAGATTTGGTTTAATTGCTAAATGTAAAAGTGAAGAAATGAGGAAATAAGAGATTTTATACATTTTTTTCATTAATATGCTAATTGCCCTTTTTTCGAAATTTCAGTTTTTAAGTAGTTTCAAAAAAAATTCATGTTTATCGGAATGGTCATTAATTTCAGTCAATAACAATGGTTGGTGGTGAGAAGGAAAACAATAAACGAACAGTTGAACGTGTGGAGTATAATGCGGAAGAACAGGTAACCATTATAGCGAGTGATTCAAGTAAAACAGGCAGAAAGTTAGGATTATAAGCTTCTTCGAGGTGTTTTTATGCTTGATTATTTTTTGAGTGAAATCATCGGAATACCGAAGAAACATGTTACACTGAATATATGGATCTTTTTGGTGATAATGATGAGAAACTAACGAATTAATTGAAGTGGAATAAGGATATTAATTAGAAAATTATGAAATACTAAGTAAAATGGTTAAAATTTTGTATTCCTTTCAAATGTTATTTTTATCCTTCTTTTTTTCATCCGTATTTTTGAAAATGAATTTAGCGAAGTTTATTTTAAGCTATTCGTGGTGTTGGTTGGTCCACAAAAAGATCGTCATGTTCGTCTAATACCGATGGCTGCGCTTGATGGCCGTGATTTGAAGTGGATTAAAGTAGCAGAAACGAAAGGCTGTCATCTGATGACAATGGGTGGTGGTAGCTCGAGTGATCCATGCCATTATTTCTGTGTTGCAATCAAAAAATCGGTCTTTTTTTTCCTTTCAAAAAGTGAACTAAATAATTTGAGATTTAATAGGGCATTTAAGAATCTTAGTGAAATTTCATAGCATTAGTAGCTTAGCGCACGTATGAATTAATGTATACAGCTTTAATGGTTCACATTTTAAGCAACCTGGGGAAGTATAACCGGGATGCGAAAATTATACGGAAGTATGTTGGTAACTATGTCCGGTTATATTCTGTAAATCTTACTATCTTAAATATGGTTAACCGACCTTAATGAAAGCATTTCTATTTCGACTTAATGATAAGAAATTAGAAAGTTCAGGAATTAGAAAGTTTGGTCTTAGAAAGTTTTATAAAGTAGTTTTTTGGTAATGTCTTCATTCATCATCCAATGAAAATTACTCTTTCAGTAATAACTCTCTTTCTGTTAGATTAGAATTCAAAAAATTTCTGAGATCTAAGCACTTCTTAAACAGTATTCCATTATTTTCATGTTTTTTTTAAGGTGCTCGTTTTTCAAATTGATAGAAGTGAAAAACGACATCGAAAGGTTCGGGAATTGGCAATGCCTGGACAACCACAAACAATGGCAGTAATGCGTGGTAAGCTATGTGTTGGTTATCCATCTGGTTTTCGCATGTGGGATCTTGTGGATAACACTACTACCGGTATGTCTTCATTGTGGACTTTTCGTTCTTATACTGAAAATTATTAAAGATTCTTGATTTTTTCAAAAATTCAGGGAGTCCAAACACGAACATTTTATGCAACTTTACTTAAGTAAATTTCAGCATTGGTAAACTTCGAAGATTCATCACTTCAGTTTCTTAATCAAACATTATACGATGCTCATTTGATCATCAATGTTAGCGGGTATGAGCAAAAGGAATTTCTTTTGATATTCTCACGTCTTGGTGTTTACGTCGATGCACAAGGTAAGTTTATAGTTTGTCGTTCAAATTCAAATATTTCGGAAACTATTATCTGCATGTTGGCACTGTTTACGAAATACTTGAACTATGCTTTAAATACTTCAATTATTTAACTGATAGTTTGATTATACTGATATAAATTAACAGATCAAAAAATGAGAGACTCTCTTGGTAAATAAAAACTTCCCAGAAAGATTATTATTACTTAGTATCGAATACAATCGTTAATTGAAGCGGAATTTTGAAATATTACATTACTCTTTTCAGGTCGCCGATGTCGTTCACAAGAATTAATGTTTCCGGCTGAGGCATCATCGGGTGGTTTCGTTTGTATAATGCCACATTTGTGTGTTTATTCCGCAAATGAAATTGATATTTTCAATGTGAATAGTGCTGAGTGGGTTCAAACTGTCAATTTGAACAAGGTTTCATTTTTTTAACAAAATTCTTTGCAAAATAACTGTGAAATTGGGAAATAGTTATATCTTTGGATTAAAATTTTCTAAAAAAGAAACGACGAGTGTAGTCTTTTTGTCTGTTCAAGAATTTTGTAAATTATTTGAACTGTTTAATTTTGAATAATTTCAAACTGTATTTTGGATCATTTCATAAATGTAGATACAAATTCTTTGGTAGCATGGGATAAATTTTTGCAAGTGTTACATTTTCGATATCAGATTTGTAAATATAAGTAGAAGTGTAATGTTTTCACATATTTTGAATTTCAAAATTTCGTTAAAATCAAGCTTTTGATTCTCATATCCAAGTATTTATGTTTGTATATGCTTCTGGAGTTTTAATCGAGAAAATATTTTCTTGATCAAAATTCGTCGGCGTTGTTTGAGGAAAATCTTTTGGAAAGGGTGTAATTCACTATTAGTCTGAATCAAGGATGAATTGAATTGATTCGTTGAAAGCATTTAATATGTAACGCTTTTTAGTGGTACGAATTTTTACATGGCCGTGTGCTAAATGCATATGCCAGTAGAAAATATACATTTTACTCATTTATCTTACCATTCTGAATTTTTAAAAAAAAAAAAAAAAAATTTAATTCAGGCATTTCCTCTGACAAGTAACGGGTTATTGACGATGTGCATGGTGAACGATATGCCATACGTTGTGTTACTTTCGGATGTACTCTCAGGTATTTAGATATTCATTAAATTACTATTTTGCTCGCATATCAAGTGTGTTTACATTGAAGGAAATTACCCGTTTTTCTTCCGTAAACTATACAATTACACTAATTGAAATATATGGACAGATGTTGTTTAATACAGCAGTTCTTCAACTATTTAAATTACTTTGAACTGTAATTACTAATTGCTTAATTAATGTGATTGATTGTTGGTTTTTTTTTGTACTTGGAAATCTTTTTTTACCTCTCTCGTTCTCTATTGGTTTTGCTAATTTGTTTGTTATTACTTTGCAGATGAAGATGCGGTAAGTATTCCGGTTTGGACATCGTCCAGCGTTTCGAATACGTCAGCACTTTCTCTGAAAGGTATGGCTGCAAAACGTCGACGGAAATTCTCTATACGTACATCACGTGATGAAGATCGACATGGCAGGTATTTTTTTATGAAATTGAATGCAAATAGTATTACAATATTTTTTGCTGGACTAAAATTCCAGTCGGATTTTTTTTGATTTTAAAATGCATTCGAAATTTTCCTGGACATAATTTTTTATTATATCCTTTTTTTTCTCTTTTCACTATTCATTGCTCCATTAGCCTGTAATACCTGTTTAATTATGGGTATACTTGATGTATCTAATTAGCTATTGATCATTAGATTGATTAAGCTTTAAAAAAAAATTTTGATATTTTCGAAAAATATTATATTTCAAAATATTATAAAATACAATATTATATTATATATTTTAAAATAAAACATATATTCTATTATATTTCGAAATCATTTTTCATAGAATTGGTGATCGTCGAAGTCAGTTACCGATCAGTGGTCCATCCGATTTTGTTCATATCGTTCATATGGGTCCTGGAGCAGGATTGGAGTTGCAAAATTTAATGGATTTAAAACAGCTTGGTCCTGCAACTCATTCGCAGAGTAGTTCATGTGTTGGAACCGGTGCTGCTGATAAGGTATGTAGATATTGAAGTAATTTAAGAATAGTATGGTTTTAGGGATTGGGAAAATCTAATATAGTGTGATTTATGAAATCGAGAAGGGAATAAAATAACTAATGTTGTAGCTCTAATATATTCATGTCGTCATATTGCAATACTGTTTGGTTATTCGTATAATTACTATTTATTGTCATGATATAGCTTGCTTTTAGTTATAGTTTCCTTTATAGTTTTTCTGCTTGCATGATAACTTTACTATATGCATTTTGCGCATGCTTTGTTGAAGTTTCAGTATTACTAATATTCATAGTGATATTCGCAGTAACAGCAATAATAACAATATATGTGTTGTTATTATTTTAATTTTGCTCTATCTGCTACTACCTACGTGACATTATTTTACTTTCAGTATGTAGCTTTGCTTTCCTTAAAAAATTAAATTTTCTGAAAATGAAAATTATGATATCGCGAGAATTTTCAACATTGTTCATTAAATAATTCTGAATTTTTCATTAAGTTTAGGTTTAGCATATATAATTTGTTGCAACTTAAGTATTTCGTGAAAGATTAAACGTTATGTGTGCTTGACATAATTAGAAGTGATTTCAAATTTTCTTTGAATTTTCCACTCATTCACTCACTCCTTTTCCTTACAATCTCTATAATTTCTCTTCTGGTGTGCTTTGACAAAAAAAATCTAATTTTGGATTTGACAGGTACGTCAATTTATTAACCCGATAATGCGTTCGAGCAGTACAGCAACAGCTAATTTGCATGGTGCGCAAACTTTAAGTAGTATTTCTCGTCGTGATTTTGAATTGATGCAGTCCAAAACACGTCCATTGAGTTCGCATAGCAAAAGTTCAGATGGTAAGCTTTGCAGTTATTGTTGAAAAGAGTGGCCATTCAGTTTACTGATGCATATCTTTTTTAAATAATAACTTCTCTTTAACATTAATTCTACTTAATACTTAACCAGAAATGTTTGTATTTGCTTAATTTCCGTGTAATATTGGCGTAAATTGTTTGGTCACATTACGTGGTCATATTGCGTGCAACATATTTGTGTTTCTATGATGTGAAATTTATTTTTGTTTAAAAAATTCTGGTTTCCTTCGCTTTCTCTATTCATTCATTTCTAAACTTAAGGTTCTTCGCTAGGACGCAATGGCATGCTTTGCACAGCTCAGCTAACAAGTCAAGAAATTCATGCTGTGGTATGTCGCATGCATCTATTATCTTTTATTATACTTGTACGCTTTCCATCTGCGATTTATGATTCCCTTTCAACTGTCCAAAATTCTGAAACCGAAACAAAAAATTAAAACAAAACTAGCTAATAGACGCATTTGGAAATTGTTTTTTGATCTTTCAACTCTTAGAATATGAAAAATAGTATTCTTTATTTCTGGTTATCATGTTATACTCATCTCTTGATCATTTAAAATGTATGGTTAGGTAGATCTTAACTACTCCGTAGTTTAGAGCATATGTTAAATTCTTTCCTTTCATTTCGAAAATAGCAAAGCTGTGGGATGCTTAATGAAGTCGGTCGATCTAGAATTCAAAAAGGGAAAAGTGATCACACATGATGAATTGCGATCAATTTCACATAATTAGTTTATAGAATTGAGATAGTTAACTACATAAATATAATTTGCATGTTGATATTGGATTTCTCGGGAAAAGTTTAGTAGTTTTTGAAATAATTAGATCATGCTTGTGTTGAATATATAGTAATATTTTATGTAATTTGTGGGAATGTATGGAACTTTTTTATATGCAAATTTTTAATAGTGATGGCAGTTGGGATATTTCGATTTTTTGTAGCAGATTTTTTCTTTTAAAAAAAATTTAAACAATTAAAAGTTATCATTCCATTTTTGTAGGAACATCCGGGACCGATACGACGTCCTGTGCGAGCAAATTCACAAATGTCAACAACGATCCAAGCGTCAACAGTGAATCGAAATGAAGTAGCTCGTATATAGTATCAACTTTTACAAATAAATCTTGTATATCTATTAACTTACATTTAGTTTTTTAAAAATGATTCATTTCCACTTAAAGCTTTTAAAAAAAGGAAATTAGTAATTAAGTAAACAACCTGGGATTTTTTCAAATTTTTGTTCAAACATGATAGTAATGCCTGCTCTGTTGAAATTACTAAATGTAATCAGCATTCAGACTAAACTGTTTCAATAGGAAAAATGATTTCCAATTCAGGATTGCGGAATCTACAAAAGTTAGAGTGTGATAACTTGACTCTTCTCTTCACAAAAATTTGAATAATTCAAAAATTTTATACTGTTTACAAAATATTATCATATATGCGCAAATTTGCATCCTTATGCTTAGAAATTGTATCTATATGCATGTTGGCGTTGTTTCGTTTATCATTTTGTTTTGGATATAATCACGTTGTGTTGATAGAGAATGTTGACAGATTTTGAAATGTATATCAACCCTTATTTCGGGAAATCCCTTATGCTTTGTTGTACTTTTCTTGGATATTGAGAATTTTTTCAGTTTTACATTCTCAGATATCGGGAAGTTTTTCTCTTTTTTTCAATAATTCTAGTAATGAATAAGGAGGAAATTTAACAAGTTGACCTAGTTGATCAGTGACCGGTTATTTATGCTACAATTCTAGTTATTCATGTAGTCATTATTCATTTGGTCAGTTATTTTAGCTGTTGTAAACGAAATTATTATTATTATTATTATTATTATTATTATTATTATTATTATTATTATTATTATTATTATTATTATTATTATTATTATTATTATTATTATTATTATTATTATTATTATTATTATTATTATTATTATTATTATTATTATTATTATTATTATTATTATTATTATTATTA